CCCCAAAACCCCAAAACCCCAAAACCCCTTCAACTTCAAATAATTGGAACGATCGTGTAAGAGTAATCTAGCTGATTTTGGTGGAACCCTAAAAAAACCTAAAACTCAAAATGCCACACAAGAAGACAGTAATCGACATGAGAAGCAGGAAGACCAAGGCTAAAGAGCCCAAGCAGATGAACACCCTTACGACTATGTTTAAGAAGATCAAGAGTAGTGGCGATGAGAAGGAAACAAACACTAGTGATGGAGACACGGTTAAGAACAGAGAGGTCGGACTAAAGCCTTATGATGATACTGAGATGGAACCTGTCAAGGAAGTCAAGCCTATACAGGAAGAAGATAAAGAAGCAGATACTTCAGATGAAGAGATCATTGTATCCAACCCTCCGATAATCTTGGATGAAGATTTTACTCCTGCAGTCGTGAAGTCTGAAAGTGTATTGGATAATAGAGATGAGCCAACGGCTGAACTGACAAATTCACAGATTTTAGATACACTTAGTGATGAGGAAATTGGCTTTGTGGAAGGAGATGATCAAGTCAGACTGATGAACACTTTAATAGGAAATGAATGAGATGAAATCACAGAAGAAGGTTATATGGAAAAGCTAGAGATTAAGAAAATGGAAATGTATGTTTTTACAGATCGGATTTTTGAGGTCTGAGGGCCTCCAAATAGGGAAGAAAGTAGTCAAACTCAAACTATTGTACTAAAGTTACCGGAAGATGGAGGAGAGTCTCCAGTGAGGCCTAAAGTTCTTCTTCGAGGAAATTGGTATAAAACTCCTATTGACGAAGGAGATCATATCAGAGTCATTGGTACCTTCTGACTTGAAAATGAGTATACCTTAGTCCTTGAAAATGGGTATACTTACGACCCAAATGTCAAGAGCGATATTAATTACGCTGAATATATAATCCTAGAGCCTGACATAATGGTGTCTTCCACTACAATCACATCTAGTTTTCCTTGAGTGCGGAGAGGAGTATTCTCAGAGATCTTCAAAAGTTCTTCTATCGAGAAGAAAGGAAACATGGTTCTAGGAAATATTGTCCATAGCACATTTGAGAAATTCGTTGCTAGAATTCATAAAGAAATGGAATCTATAAAGGAAATCAAGAAATCTGAAGTCACAGAGATGATCAATGAAGCAGTATCTTCCCATATTGTCAGTCTTAGGCAGGTCAATATGCCAGAGGAACATGCTCGAGAGTTCTTGAAAAAGTCTGTGAATGCAATTATCACCTGGCTTGGTGGCATTATGAAACCAGACTCTAAAGAGTTCAATATCCAACTTAAAGAATGTGTTGGAACTGAGCAGGAATATCAGAGTACTAAATATGGGTTCAGAGGAAAAATAGACTCCATCGTTGTATTGAAAGACAAGAAACTTAATGAGGATTCCTTTGCAGCTCTTGAACTTAAGACAGGAAAGAAGGAGCAAGGGCATCATAGAGCACAGGTTATTCTCTATGCCTTGCTAATCATGGAAAGGTTTGCTGAATCTGCTAGCCCAAGAAACCTTCTTCTCTATATCATGAAAACAGGGAAGACTCATATTATTAAAGCTGCGAGAGAGGAATTTTGAGCATTGATTCAGAGAAGAAATGAGCTTGCCAAGCTCCAAAAATTATGAAACCTTGGAAAGCCTATGATATTGCCACCAATGCTTAATGAAAAGAAAGCTAAAGAGTGTGAATTTTGATACATGAACAGGCAATGTTCAATGTATGCACTTGCTATAGAGAATATTGAAGAATCCAGCTACATCCCTAGATTTCCCAAATTTACCGAATCTAGGACTACGATGTGTGCTTTATCAAGAGATTATTTTAAAAAGTGGTTTGAAATTATTGCGATAGAGCAATCATCTTACAACTCTTCCTTCAATAAGAAGAAAAAGAGAGTTTTACCGAGAGAGGAGAATCTCAGAATGGTGGAAGTATCTCCAATAATTGAAGCTTGCTCCTCTACCAACACTTTCACTGTCCGTCTGCAGAAGCCAATTTATGGCTACATGAAGTTAATTGACTTCAATGAAGGGAATTACACAAATCTTCATGGGACCGGCACCACGATCCATATCAGTAAGGGAATTATTCTGAAGAAACACATTGCCCAACTTGACGAGAGAGTTTTTCCCTCCAATAAAGTAAAGATTGAGTATGAAGATGATATGAAGAATGAGACTAAAAATGAGCTCAAAAAGCACTGCTTCGTCTCCCTAGAAGACCTTGGAGAAAATGAGAAAGAATGAGAAAAAGAAGAAGCTGAACTCAAACAATTTGATTGTAAAAAATCAGACCCAGTCAAATCCCAAATTCCTAAAGGAAGAAAAGCCTTAGAATATATTATTGAATTTAGAGGTGTCAACCGGATGAATTTGGAGCCAAGCAGTCTTGGTGGCAAGCACTCTTCTGAAATTATCTGGAGACTTGAGAGTGAGACTACCAATACATATCAGTTCAACATAATGAGAAACAATCTGTTCCTTATGCTAATGAAACATGAGTTTAAGAAACAGAAGAACTATATTGTGTATAACCATGAGCCTACTTTTGAAGATGATGAAGCCCTTGACCGATACGAGAAAACTTTTAGTCACTATGTAGAGGATCTCAATGAAGAACAGAAGATCGCAGTCATTAGATCTCTAGGTACTAAGGAGTTTCAGTGAATCCTATCCCTTCCAGGAACAGGAGAGATGCTTGTGATTGAGAGAATAGTTAAATGAGCAACTATTCTGAAGAAAAAAGTGCTTCTAATGGCTTCTAACAATAGCCTGGTTGATGCAACTCTGATTAATATTAAAGAGAAATATCCTGACTTAAAACTGTTCAGACTGAATAATGATGCAAAAGGAACTGACTCTAGACTTATCAATGAGACTCGGAATGGCAACACCTGGGAATCCAAGAATGAAATAGACCAGCTTATAGAAGAGACTCAGGTCTTTTCCACAACTACAATGTCAATGTTTCATCCATTTTTATTGGGTCTGATTCAGAAGTTTGACTATGTTATTGTTCAAGAAGCATCTGCAATCACTGAGCCGATTACCATCGGGCCTTGTCTCCTTGGAAAAGCTGTTATTATGTTCGGGGATTATTATATTTCCAATCCGAGTGTCAAGAGTATTGATGCTGATAGAAAAGGGCTAGGAAGGTCTCTTTTCAAAAGATTATGCGATCAGTACACCAGTAAAATCATTGTCTTGAAACACCAATATCGTATGAATAAAAATATCTGCAAGCTGATCAACTCTATAGCTTATTCTGGGCTGATGAAGCATGGCTCTGAAGCTGTGAAAGTCGCCAAAATTTGATATCCAAATGAAGTCATAGCCAGATTTCCTTGGATTCAAGAAGTAAAATCTCCAGAAAGATCTGTGGTCTTCCTGAACATTGACAACGTACTAAAGAAAACTATGCCATCTGATATTTGTACGATGAGGACAAAGAATTTCTACGAAGCTGCTGTTATAAAGGGGCTTGTCTGAGCTTTCCTAGAAAGTGGGATCCAAACCAGGGATATAGCTGTAGTCTCCCCCATCAGGAACCATTTGTACATGCTTCAGAACCATCTGAGAGAGCAAAAGGTCAAATGAGTGAATATAGAACGAGTTGGAGAGCTAAGTAAAGACATCATTATTGTATCCTGTGTTAAGTGTACCAGAGTATTTCCTTCACTTAAAGATATTAGGAGATTGTATCTCGGGTTTGTGAGAGTCAAGAAAAAATTGATCATAGTTGGATCAAAGAACAATATTATTGGAATAGAGCCTATAAATAAGTTCATAAAGTATATTGATACCAAGAATTGGTATTTAGATATTAATAATCTCCAACAGATCATTAGATATCTACCGAAAGAAGCAAGAAGAGTGATGTCTAAATTCAAAACAACTCGAAAACAAGATAGAGAAGACTTAAAAGTCAAAATAAAAAAAACATCTCCTGTAAAATCTGAAACTGAGACCTCAAAATTGGTCAAAAACCAATAAATATATCTCTAAAATTAATATTTTAATTTTTATAACCATATCCAAAATTCAAACTTTAGCTTAAACCCCGGGGTTTTGGGGTTTTGGGGTTTTGGGGTTTTGGGG